CAAAAAAGAATTTATCTTTCCATCCTTTGATGGAAGATGGCCCAACGCTAAACATACCCCTTCTCTGTCTATTAACCACCCGACTTGTAAAATAGTACCAACTCTTCTCCTTACCACTCCTAGCATTCAAGACATAAAAGTACTTGAATACACTAGCGGTTGGAAACGCCACCCCCCGACTTCGACTATACACTACAAAGGCCACTACTAACCTCACAGTGTTGGGGGTGAGTTACGTTAATCTCAAACCGTACTCCGGCAACAACCATACCAATAGGTTTGGGATGGGGAATCATAACCCAGCCACCAAGCAATGGGAGTACAAAGGCATCCAATGGTCCCCCGGAGCCGAGCACACCCTCTCTCTCTTCCCCGCCAGCCTCACCAACACATGCCCAAGCACCCCACAGTTCTCAACTAAGTGGGCCAAACCACCCCTATTTTCCAAAGACGTCTCATACCCCATCACCTCACCAACAATCTCTTCCTTAGGGTTGAACACTCCTCTCTTTCATCCTCTCTCTCCAAAATGTTCAACGGCACCCGTAAATCCCTACCCTCTATCTCTTGAACCCTCCCCCTCACTCTGTCATCACTAATCGTCTCTTTAGAAGACATTCTCACAACAAAGAAAGGTAGAAATAAGACGCTAAGACGCTCACAAATTACCTGGTCTCTGCTGACAACGGATGAACAATGTCGAATACAAGCAAACCAATGACTTTTCGCAAAGTTAAAAGCAAAATGAATTGGATTTTTCTAACTATGGATATATATATATATATATCACGGCAAAAACACATCTTGATGGTCACAATTAATTTCATTAAACCGTCACAACCATGCCCTTTCAAATTCGTCGTTTAATTTACCATCGCATCCCTTCGAATGTGACGGTTACTTTTTGCAGACAATATTTATTACTGCATGCTCTTCCATGACAGCTGTCATATGCTGCATTAACTAGCTTTGGCATTCCATAAATAGGCTCATTTTAGGCCCATCATAAACCCCTTCACCTATATTCTCACGAAAACTGTCAAGTCACCACTTTTATCTCGGCTTCGGCCACAGTGACCCCGTAGCACCAATTTTTATTTCGACTCTGGCCATAGTGACCCCGCGTCACAACTTTTATCTCGGCTTCGGCCATAGTGACCTCGTGTCACCAATTTTATTTTGGCTCTGGCCATAGTGACCACGTGTCACCAATTTTTATTTCGACTCTGGCCATAGTGACCTCGTGTCACAACTTTTATCTCGACTATGGCCATAGTGACCCCGTGTCACCAATTTTTATTTTGGCTCTGGCCATATTGACCCCGCATCACAACTTTTATCTCGGCTTCAACCATAGTGACCCCGTGTCACCAATTTTTATTTCGGTTCCGGCTATAGTGACCCCATGTCACCAATTTTTATTTCGGCTCCGGCCATAGTGACCCTACATCACAACTTTTATCTCAGTTTTGGCCATAGTGACCCCGTGTCACCAATTTTTATTTCGGCTCCGGCCATAGTGACCCCGCATCACAACTTTTATCTCAGCTTCGAATATAGTGACCCCGCGTCACAACTTTTATCTCGCTTCGACCATAGTGACCCCGTGTCACCACTTTTATCTCAGCTCGGGCCATAGTGACCGCATATCACCAATTTTTATCTCGGCTCCGAACATAGTGACCCCGTGTCACAACTTTTATCTCGCTCCGGCCATAGTGACCCCATGTCACCACTTTTATCTTGGCTCGAGCCATAGTGACCGCGTGTCACCAATTTTTATCTCGGCTTCGGCTATAGTGACCTCGCGTCACCAATGTTTATCTCGGCTCTGGCCATAATAACCCCATATCACCACTCCTATCATGGCTGCGGCCATAATGACCTCAAGTCATCCACTTCACTCTGGCTTCGACCCAAGTCTCAGATTAACTTCGACCTCTGCCGCATTGACTTCGTGTCGCCAACGCTATCTCGCCTACG